AACTCTACAGCTTGTTGATTATCTAAAGGCTAACAGTCCTGACACACCAATTGCACCTCAACTGCTCATCAGAAAAGTCAGAATTATGAAAAACGCTGGAGATCTGCAAGGTAATTATTAAATGCACATGGCATCAGGCTTAGACCTAAACAATGACCAGCACTTGATTTATGTATTCGATTCATCCTTTTGATAGCGAACCATGAGAGAACGTGGCCATCGCAATCGCTTCTCCTTTTGCCTGCTGCTCTTGCGTGACTTCCCGTGACTCCCTCAAATGGAGAGCTTACTCGCAGGTTAAGACAAAAAAACTCATGCACTCCAATGTGTTTGAATATCTGATGTAAAAGTCTTCGTTTTTACACTCATTATTTCCACTTCAAAATCGTTTTTAGAAATTATGTCAAATTTGGATATATAGTGTATCAGACTTATGGAAGTTCCTTAAAAAAACTTTGCTGCGGGTTGTAACAGTTATCAAATCTCTTGTTGGGTTTTGATTACTCATGCTCCAGAGGTCTGTTCTTGAACAGTCCGGAATATCCCTAAATTTAAGGACAGGGCCAACTGCATGGTCACGCGACACTTTTCAACCAATGAGAAGGCGCACTATGTGTTTATCAACAAACAAATCAAAACATCACCCCGGTGATCAAAAACTTTCAAAACAGTAGACAGATTCCGACAGAACCAGTCATTGTTTCGTACCCTGCGAACAGAGTCTCCTTCAATCTTCCTTCCTGCCCTCTTTCCTGACTCATCTAGGAAAGATCAAAGCGACTCTGCTAGCAGGGTAATCGTTTCCAGGCTCTCAGGCATATTTTTAAGACTTTTCATGAGGCATACACAATTTTTTTAAGTGGACAGAGTATGGGAAGCCATATTGGAAGTGTCTCGTTAAATATTCAGCACATTTTGTGGCTTATTTCTTCTTTTAAACAACGCGAGTATAGGCGAGATTTTGGTCGGTTTTCAAGGTAGGTGAACAAGTATCTATTATTTTTTCGATTCACAGATTTTTGAAGAATTTTTCCTCGATTGTCATATGGATTAATAACTTTTATCATGTTGAATGTGGGGATGGTAGACAACCTAGAATCTTGGTAGACAATTTTTGAATTCCGAGGTCCAAAACACGTACGTTTTCCACTTCCGGGTTTCTCACAGAGCCGTGTTATTACTTTTTTTCGCATTAGTACGAGCCTTTGCCTTTTTTCATTTCAAGGCCAAAACAACTTTATTAGTCTTATGGATATTCACGTCCAACATCTCGCCTCACTTTGCCAAATTGGCGGGGATGAAATTGAAGATCATAAGCACAAGGTAGATACTAACCACTTTGTTTCTGAAATTCACCACATCTGGAAAGATTTAATGTTGTCGGATTCTCCAAATGTTCATCCACCATTAAAAAACAATCAAAGAAAGAAGGCAAATTTCAAGTGCAAAGGATGTATTTCGCTACTCATTGAGCTACTCATTGAACATGCACTGATTATCTGAGATAAAATTGCAGGTACTACAGCAAGCAAAGAAAGCACCAGATGCGTGAAGTCAACACGAAACGACACAAAAAAACAAACAAGAAAAATTGATAAATTTGAACTACTTTTTATTCTTGTTATGATGACTGATTCTTTGATTCTTGTCCTGTAGAAGTTAATAGGTAGTACCAATCCTGTTTTGTACGATCTCAACAAATTTTCAAACTCTCTCTAAGGCTATTTTTACACGGGACCAGTTTGCTTCTATCAAAAATTTGCAAGGCATGCCAGTGAAGCCACGACCTCTACGATCGGTCCGGAATCAATTCGAACACCCCAGTGATTTCTTGCAATGAATAATGCTTTTTTTTTTTCTGACATGAAATGTGGGTTCAAATCCCATCTGGGACTCGGATTTTTTTTCCGAGTCCTCCTCAAATTAATATCATGTTGTTGTTGTTTCATCTTTAATATACTCACTTTGGAGGTTGGTTGGCCGCATCTTTGATATGCTTTAA